GTAGGCAAAGTTGCCGAGCATGTCATCAACGATCAGATATCTAAGCACATAAGAAATGCTAACCTGTTCCCGCACTACACGATAGATTTTAGACCACACCTAACTACTCAGGACGTCATGAAATTCCAGAAGCATCACATCATAGACCAGGAGACGAAGGACGTTAGAGCCAATCTCGGACTCAATCTTGAAAAGACTTTTTACAATCTCTCGCACTCCCACATACATGCCTCCATCTCTTCCCTCAACTTAGGAGCCAACTTTGGCAAGTTCGCAAGCTCGTTCCTCAGAAATAGAAATGCCACTGTGCAGCTACGAGATCTCGTCTAAGCCCTATGATCTAGGTTCCTTCGGCACCCCGCAGAGCTCAGTCGTCTCCACACTGCTGTTTAGCATTGCAATGTGCGGCCTTGCCCCCAAGTTCTCAAACCAAGAGGGCATCAAGTTCACCATCTACGTGCATGACATCGCCATATGGATTGTTGGAGGCTCTGAGGGCTCTGTGGAGAGCTCTCTTCAAGAGGCCATCGACTGTGTTGTAGTCTCCATAAAGGAAGTGCGTTTCAAGCTCTCGCCGTAAAAGTCCGAACATCCCTTACATTGATCCACGAGACGGGGATCCAAACCCAACTGGCCGACGTCAACATTAGGCTGCACATGGCATCGGGGCAGCATATTCTAATGGTGGACTCCATACGCGTTCTGGAAATGATCATCGAGGCTAATGGACAGAACAGCAACACGATCGACCCTCTGACTTCCAAGGCGGAAGGGGTCATCCGACTAATCTCACGCATTTCCAACATTCGGTGTGGCCTTCGAGAGGACAACCTCCTCAGACTGCTCCGTGCATTCTTGATGAGCCACATAAGCTATGTCGCATCTATGCACAGGTGGCCACTCCATGAGATAATAAGTTGAACATTCTCGTAAGGAAAAGCATCAAGAAAGTTCTTGGCATTCCTGCGCGCACAAGCACTGAGAACCTTATGAAACTTGGAGTCCACAACACGCTTGAAGAAATTAGCGAGGTGCAACAAACGGCACAGGTTGCCAGGCTTTCGATCACACCAACGGGGAGAAATATCCTGGCTGACGCTGGTGTAAACTCCCTGATGCTCGAAGTGCAAAATACGCCACTTGATGATCATATACACTCTCGCATCATAGTGTGTCCTCTTCCATAAAACATGCACCCACAGTACAACGTGGGCAAGCGTACCGCTCGAGCCCCCTCTGTTTTAGCTCAAGCTCACACATACTCATCTTTTATATGCTTTGTTAATACCGCCAGGTACGGCTTTTCCGCTCACTTTTCAGTAGTATTCGTAGATACTAAGGGTCAGGTTCCATCCTCAGTGTAGGTTCAAATCCCTACTTTTTACAAAATAGAACAGACAGCCATTGCACTAGCTGTCCTTTATTCACAAAGAACTTATATTTAAACGGACTGTAAATACGCTGCCAGAGCCTTCGCTTCTGCTTCCGTGTGTAAGCATGTTTTAGATGTCTAACAAGGTACTCACCCATCACACTATAGTTTGGTTCTCTACTCATATTGGCTTGAAGCTTGAGGGCCTTCCTAATGCCAACGAGCTAGCCTACTCCGAGGCGTGGGGCTTCACTTATTGCGCTCGGACTTGTACTTCTAAGTCAGAGGAATCAGCCCCCAACCTTCATTTTAATGACATTTTGATTTACTTCAACAAGATCACAAAGCACTATCAATTAGACCATATGTCCTTCCATTGCCACACGAAAAGCTGTCTAGGCCACAGGCAATCTCCCTTCGCATGATTCAGACGTGCATATATCCTAGCCTCGTAACCTATAGCCATTACTCCGACATTTCACAACTTTGTCCGGACTGCCACAATCGCAGTGATGTCTTTTATCAAATGCTCACGAGTCCGGTCCTCATACAACAACTCAAGACTGTCTAGAAGGCCCAAGATGCGGCGGTGAGGCTAGCCCTCCCCATCCCTACGTGGGAGCGGCCCACGATGCTACTCCTATAAAACGCCGTTGGAATTCTTCAGGACCCCAATAAAGTTTTTCATCCATCCGTCTATTTCGCGCGATGTGTTACGGGTGGTGGCGGTGGCGGCGAAAAACTACAGCGTGCCTGAGTTGTGATCTAATAACAGCTTTCGCTGTAAAATGAATTAGCATGACTTGAGTATGACAGATATAAATAACAGGACACGTACGCTAAATACTAATGTATTCATGCATGCATGACAAATAGTCAACGGCATGTCATAACGTAAATACAATAATTTGTCTCAAAACAAAACAGCGTCGCCTCTCTTGACTGCTTCAAAAAGCGCCGATTCCCACTGCACGTGGGATGTGCCAGATTTCTAAGTGCGGAGCACTTGACAAAGCCATGCTGTCTTATACCCTGTACTGTTCCATCGACGTGGCTTGACGTAACGCTTCATGTGTACTATATTGAGTGCACGCTGACGCCAAGGAGGACTTATTTTCTTTGAGAGGCTTAATGATGACCACTTATCATCAGTAAACAAAACTGCCGCTATTGGTGCAATGCAGCCAAACCACGTATAATTATCGGAGAATAAAAAAGCAAGTGCTAAATAGTGTAAAAAGTAAAAATAAAAAAATCACTGCATTTCATGCTGCTTGAAGATAATTATGGGGTGAAGCTTTCGGAGGTGATTATTGTGATTAAAGTTGAGATAGTACTGAGACTGATTGTGGTTGTGATACTTATATATTTTTTATTCAAAGAGATAGTGCTGAGACCGATTGTGATATAGCGGTGATTCTTTATAGCTGATATGAGGTTCTGAGTTCCGGTTTACGTTTTGACTTCATAATCACAGCTTCATTAGCAATCGTCTCTGGTGTTGAATTTTCTTGTCGGTATTGCCGCCTTGCGTCCGCTTCAAGTTATCTCAACTGTGCATCAGCATGGCGTTTTTCCCGCTCAGTCTTTGCTTCCTTAGCCCTAGCCTGTGGTGTAGAACTTTGTTGTCGCCGTCGCCACTTTGCATCCGCTTCCTTCTCTTTTGTCTCCGCGGTAGCTTCCCGTCGACGGCGACGCTGATACTCAGCACGTCGCGCTTTCCTGCGTTCGTCTTCGTCTATATGAGAGAAGAGAATGTGTGGTATGTAACGTGGTTATATATATATATATATATATAGCGTTGACAGCAGCACCATCACATCTACAATTAACCACAGCGCCCTGTGTTGCTTATAAGTTGAAGGTTACGTGCAAAACGGTTACCACCAACGCCCTCTATTGCTGATAAGTTGAAGGTTACATGGAAAATGGTTCAGAAATGTCAGACAGATGAAGACGTGTTACAGACAGACTAGAGACGGTGGACATCGTATGGTCGTTAAGAGCTTCGCCCCTAAAAGAGCAACGAATAGCAAAAATAAAGAGACAGTAATATACAAATGGAATTCAAGACAAAGACCATGAAAGAGGAAAAACTACCTGGCCTGCGCGGAACGCGAACCACAGTCACAGTGAAGGCTAGAAAATCGGTCTTTGTTCAGTCCTTTTACAAACACTCTTTGGCTAACTTTGGCAAGCAAACTAGCAGGGTACACAATAAACCTTATATAACAACTTTATGTAGTTTAGGGAAGCATTCTTTTTTGTCTTCTTGACCTCCGCACATGGCACACACCAATTTCACGGGATTGGGTGAGCTGAAATGCATTGACAATGTCATCATTCGTCCCTCTTCAGAGAAGCGTGCTACTCTACGCACTTGAAAGATTTGTGCAATTTTTAGATCACGCATGTGGCTGACGACAATGAAGAATTACGCTTCAGGCTTTTGTAATGTCTTGGGGAAATTCGACGGTCAACTCGTTACGTAATCCGCATTTTGGGATGCCTGGTGATCCCTTGCTGTTATAAAACGCTATATTACACATCATGACGTCATTACTTTGGCGACATCAAGCCTGCGTAGGATCAGTTTGCAACGCGCTGCCAAGCAACGGCGTTACCCAGTGGTAGATTACTGAGCTGACCCACAGAGCACCTCGGTTTTAATAGCTTTCTCTTGTTGTTTTTATTTGCTTGTTTTGCGCAAGTGATTACGGATACCGGCGTCGGTGGTGGACAACTACGACGCCAAAAAGATTCTTGTTGTGATCTCGCAGCAGCTTTCGCTGTGACAAAAAGAGAGACTGTTGGAAAACAAAAGAAACCTGAAGAGAAAAAAAGGGCCCACACGTATAGTTCAGGTTGGCACCCGTAGTGCGAAGGTGCCTTGATTTGTTTTTGGTTTTTCAATGAACGTCATGCTATTTCTTGTGGACCTGTCTTTCTGAATTGCGTGTCCGACCAACAAAGTGACCAACGACTCCCCGCTATTCTTGTGAGTTGCAAACTGCAGCGTAGCCAGAAATTTTCACCGGTGAGAATTTCCATGAACGTTTACGTATCGTGCATGTGCTTGTATTTCTGCACATGCAAAACCATCGAAACTTCACGTGAGTGTGGAGGGAGTCTGTTTTACTACCCCAACCTTGGCTACATTAGTGGCTGCAAGTGCACTGCTCTTTACCGTAGATTTTTTTTAGCAAATTTACATTGTTCATGGGTCAAGTAAGGGCAATGAGAACTATAGAAGGTGGACCAGCTATGAGTTACTTGTAATGCATAGTTCTGTTTTCACGGTTATATTCGCAACTTCTTTGCTATGAAGCATGCAGATTGTATACGTAAGCGCTGACAGCGACATTCGACTACGCCGTCTTTATAAAGAGCTTTACCGATGGTTTCGCAGTAAATCCACGTTAACACTATTAAGAATGGACCACCCAAAAGGTCTTACCACTGTGAGCAAAAATCGGTAGATGTATTATGGGTAGCATCTTCTGGCAACTACAAAGTACATGGGCAAATTCAAAGGAGCTCGTGACAAAACAGCGTGGCAGTAATAGTCAGCATGAGCAGCGCTTTTCACTGCGATTGGATAATGAAGCACAAATTGTCAACAACGCAGTTTCTCTGCCTGAAGAGCGGGCGCCCAGTGGGACTAAACGAGCACGGCGAAGTTGCCTTCCGCACTCCTTCTATGACGCGTGGCTACTACAAGAGACCACGCGAGACTGCCGAGCTAATAGATGCCGACAGCTGGTGCCACACGGGTGAGTAAGTGTCAGAGATGGACACCATAAAGACTCCCACATTATTTAACCAGGGGGATTTCTGGCGCTAGTGTTTATTGCAGCTGCAATGCAATGCACCTCAGAATTGTCAAAGTGATAGCACACCTATTTATTTAATCTTCCTTCTTTCGGCTCCGAGTGGCCTGCAGCCGCTTTGTTGCAACATGATGTTCAGCCTTCGCTTGCTTAACCTTTTAAAGGGCTCACTAATTTGAACTGGCTCACGCAGCTTACAACAATTCATTCTTGTTTCTGAAACAAGCGCCAAAATAAAACAGGCAGAATCTCAAGTTGTTGATTGATATGTGGGGTTTAACGTCCCAAAACCACCATATGATTATGAGAGATGCCGTAGTGGAGGGCTCCAGAAATTTGGCTACCTGGGGTTCTTCAACGTGCACCCAAATCTGATCCCACGGGCCTACAACATTTCCGCTTCCATCGGAAATGCAGCCGCCGCAGCCTGGATTCAAACCCGCGACCTGCTGGTCAGCAGCCGAGTACCTTGGCCACTAGACCACCACGGCGAGGCAATCTCAAAGGTGTTTGAAACCACAAGCATGAATATAATGACTTAATCGATGGGAAATATTGAGTGCTTTAGAGAGCTCTTAAAAGTGGTCGTGCATTCATTTAGTATAATTGGAGCACTCGAGTTACGTTCGTTTGCTTCATTGGGATCGTCATCCTCTGACTCCAAGCTCTCACTTAAAACAATTGAAAGCGTGGCGTGAGAGAGAAAATCACAGACAGTAGACGTACCGTTTACCGGCAGGTGTCAGCTCGAGCTGATTGGATGCGTGATACTCCGTGCATGAACGTTCATTGCGGTGGTGGCATTTTTCAGCGCCAGTGTAGCGAGTTCCCATCTACCAAGCCATAACTACCGCCCACGAATGTTGAAATGGCAATTTTATTCCGCAGCAAGAACTTGCTACGATGATAGCAAGTAAAAGCTGTGAGACAGCTTGAGTAGCCCTGAGCCCTTAGTACACAGGGTAGCACAGAAAAGCATGCGGCTAAACACAACCAAAATAAAAGAAGGGTATGTTTCAAAATTTTCTCTGAGAAAAGGGCAAGCATCAGAAAAGCCAAACCAAATAAAAGATTACAATGCAGGCGTAAAAATAACAGTCGTCAGATCACATCATCATACAAACAATAATCGCAATTGTTTTGGTGATATGCTGGATATGTCAATGTTATGTTATGTTACCTAGTTATGCTGTTTTGAAGAAAATTTCAGTTGAATTTCTAACACTTGATCCCCGTATTTTGTTCTACGCTTTGATATGTACCACGCTTCAGACTGACGTGCATTATAAGCAGGAAAATTTTTCGCTAACCAAGCTATTGTTGCAATCGTATCAGTATTTTTTCAAGAAACCAGCCTCATACAAACGATTTAGTTTGATTCATGCATTGATGCAACCTGAATGATACAGTATTTTTAATACTTTTGCTGTGTTAATGATATGGTACTTTACAGGCAAGACGCAAAACTTTGTTTTGCAAGATGGTAGGTGTACTAACGTTTGCAGTTGTCATTGTGGACCATACAAGAAAATAGTAATTCAATAAGTAAGAAAACAACGAGTTATATATGAGCATGTTAAAACCAACAGAAGCAGCAGCAATGGCGGCGAATAATGTCAGTTATCTATTAATGCTTAGTAATATTATTGTTACATACAAGAGCAACTAACACGAAACACAATTCAAACCAACACTGCCTTCATCATTCTCTTTCACTGGACTACCCCTCAAGAGCCAGTAACTCCATCGGTATTATTCACAAAATTTGCCGCCCTCTTTCCCTTGAAGTCTGAGCCAGGAGACGAAGAAGCGTGAATACCAAAATCACGCTGCAGGTAAAGTGTTTCAACCGGCTTGCATGGGCAGCAAAAGCGCGGTTTCTGCTTTTGGTGCCCAGTTTAAAAATAACCTTTAGGCGGAACGTAACAGAGCCTAGGGTTTTCAGCACTCTAAATGGGCCAGCGAACTAAGGAATAAACTTCTGGCAACGCTGTGGAACACGCTGGGTTCGTCGAACTAGCCCGAGGTCTTCTGGTTTGAAAGGGGTGTGGTTCTCGTTGGAAGGCGAGCGGAATTTCGCCTGATGATGCGCAATGGCCACGTGCGCTCTAAGCGGGCTTTCTGAAGTAGCTCCGAAGTTCTGCTATCATCGAGACGGTTTTGTGCTGTTGTGTTTAAACCAAAGCTCTCCTGTGGAAGCCTTGGCGTCCTTCCATAGACAAGCTTGAACTGTGACTCCCGTGCGATTTCCTGCTGTGACGTATTTAGGGCGAGGACAGCCGCGGCGACGTATTCATCCCAGTTGTTATGACTGGAACTCACGTATGACGACAGTATGCCCTATATGGAACGGTTTGACGTTCCATCATACCATTTTTTGTGGCTGCAGAGGAGCAGCTGCTGCATGTCGAATTCCAAATTCATTCAATAGGTTTCTTAATGCGCACGACGTGAAGGCCGGGCCGAAGTCAGGGTGGTTCCTAACGCTTCGACGGGCAGAGTCGAATGTTAGGAACCGCCCTGACTTCGGTCCACTTCGTGAGATAGTCCATGGTAACGATAAGAAACCTGTTGTCGCGTGACGTACGGGGAAACGGCCGCATATGATCAAGTCCCACTATCTCAAATAATATTCACTGAGGTGGGATGGGTTGCAAGGGGACCAGTTGCGAATTTGTGATGGCCGTCCGAGCTGGACAGGTTGTGCACGAGAAAACGTAGCGGCAAATGTCACTGCAAATGCGCCGCCACCAAAACATGTATTTGATTCTTGCCAGCGTCTGTGCAGCCCGAGGTGACCAGCAGTCGGAGCCTCGTGGCACATGTATAGCACCAGTTGTCACATGGCTACCGGCACAACAGGTACGCAAGAACCGTCCCGAGAATTTCGGTGATAAAGAATGCTCCTTCGGACGGCACGCGATGCAGAAAGACTTTCACGACGACGCCTGGCAGTGCGTACTTTCCCGGATAGTCACCGGGTCATATCGACAATTTCTGCATCTTGTAGTTGTATAGTTCATAAATCAAGCACTCTTGTGACTGGGGATGTGTCGCTGAAAGCTGTCAGGTGGCGAGAAATGTACTCAGTGTCTTGATTATGAGTTCCGCTGCGATGGACAATAGAAAAGCTGTAGCCTTGCTGTTTGAGAGCCCACTTGCGAATTTAGCATTGAAGTATTTCTTTGTCTGAATCCATCAAAGGGCTACATTGTCGGTAAAAACCGTGACGGTTTCACCATACACATAAGGACAAATTTTCTTGACTGCACTGCCCAAACTACCGCCAAGCACTGAAGTTCAGAGGCGTGGTATCAGCTCCCTAGTTCACTGACCGGCCTCTGCGGCTCACCCTCGTTAATTTGTAAGAGAACAGCTCCAAGGCCAAGACCACTGAGATTTGTGTGTAGAATCGTCGGGGCATTCTTGTCATAGTGTGCAAGCGTAGGTGCTGCTTGAAGGGCAGTCCTGAGGTCGCAGCAGGCAGCTTCTTGATCGGGACCCAATTTCCAGCGAACTTCTTTCTTTAGTGCCTCGTTGAGTGGTGCTGCGCGAGAAGCGAAATCAGCGACAAAGTGTCTGGAATAAGATGTGAAGCTTGAGAAACGTTTTAGCTGCTTCCGTGGTGAAAGGCGGAATACAGGCAATGGCTTGGAGCTTCGTGGGATCAGGGCTGATGCCTTTGGCGCTGACACGTCCCCCGAGTAAGTAACTTCCAAGAAGCCGAAGAAGCACTTGGAAGGCTTAATTCAAAGGCGAGCGCCTTGGAGAGCACAAAACGCCTGAGGTGGTCGAGAAACGTGGGAGCGTAGACAATGATGTTGTCCAAATGAACCAAGGCCGTCGACCACTTGAGATGCCGAAGAACCCGGCCCCTTAATCACTGGAATGTAGCAGGAGCGTTGTAAGTTCAAACGGAAGGTGCTTGAACTGGCATAGGCCGTCAGCGGTTATAAAAGTGGTCTTTTCAGCGTCATTCAGGTGTATTTCTACCTGTCAATAGCCAAAAAGAAGATTCAACGTAGTGGCGAAAATGGGCACCATGCAGGCCGTCAAGGGCATCGTCAAGACAAAAAAGCGGATACACGTCGGCCGTAGTTACACTGTTTAGACGTCAATAGTCAACCCAGAAACTAATCGTGCCGCCCTTCTTTCTGACGAGGAATACGGGAAACGATCAGGAACTAGACGGTCGTAATATGATACCACGCTTAAGCGTGCCATCCACTTGATTGGTAATTTCTGCACGTTCGGAGGCACAGACTCGACGCGGGTGATGTCGAACAGGAACTTCAGAGCCGGTGTTCATTCTCTGTTGCACCAAAAGATTGTGGCCTACCACTGCCCCAAATGTAGTGGCCACTAAACAAACACGAGCAAAATACACCTAAACACAGCTTTGATCTGGCCGCCACTGCCAGATTAAACACTTTGTCTTCCTCGTTCTTCGGCCTGCGGCTCTTCTTTGCTGGTGTCCCACTTCCCTTCACCTTACCTTATAAGATCTTTGTACTGGCAAGGAGGTAGGGGTGGAAGAAGGGGAGAGGGTGAGCAATACCATTGTTCCTTGAAGGCAGTTCTATTTGTGTTCTTGACCAATGTGCAGCGCATGGCGCTGCACTGCATGCAGTGGACGGTCTTCGCGATGACGAACCATCTTCATTCTTAAAACATTGGCCGTTGTGAAGACTCTGCACAAGGTGATGAAAAAGCTGTTGTTGACAACCATGTGCTTGGGAAAAACTTGTCCCACAGGAGACGTGGCTTCACCTGTCGGATCGTGGTGAACGCCTTGTCGCAAGTTCGTTGCGCTGCTTTTTCAATGGTGTTCTCCCACGTGTGTACCTGGTCTTCGTAACTTGTCTCTTGGCCTGGCTGTCTCACCCCGAACTATTTACTTGTAAACAGCTGTTAAAAAGCAGATCCCTGCTTGATGTTCAGGT